CGGGGCTGGGAATCCGTGTGTGCTGGGCAGGGTCTGCGCTGCCAGGAACCGTGTGAGCTTGTCTCCTCTTTGCTGCGGGTTGAGCCGGCAATCCCAGGCTGGAGCCTGAAAGATCCTGGGCGTCAGCGCTTGTTCTGCACTGGCCGACAGCGGCGCCCAGAGGCTCGGTGTGGAACTGCAGTTTGGCTTTTCTTTAGTTCTTTCAAGAAATCTTTTTCTTTAAAAATACAAGTTGATAACCTAAAATATTTGAATTTGATTCCTAAATGATTCTGTTTTCATCATGAAACATACTTTTTACGTGGTAGTAATGACCGCTTTTATATATTAAGATTTACATAAATTTGAATATTAAACTAAATAAGGCAAAAAAGAACAGAGTGAAGATCTGTAGGTCTCCTCTCCAATGGCCCATTACTGTCCAATTCTTCCATCCAGAGGCAATCACTGTTGTTCCTTTTTTTAAAAAAAGAGTAATTATCCATAAAGCTGGAAGTGCCAGAGGTAAGCAAAAAACGTGTCTTCAATTCCGGTCCATATTTGGTATGTAGGAAGAAATATAGGAAGAAAGCATAATTCTTCTTTCCATATTTAGGTACAAAACCATTGCCATATTTATTACAACCATCCACTGTATCCTGTACTGCTTTTAAATAATATTTTAAAATATTTGCTTACAAGGGCTACAATGTCAAAGGAGTTTTTTTAAACCAATATTTTCAAAATAATATAAATATTTTAAATTGATGTATGATAATTTTTAACCTCATGGAGAGAACTTTAAAATAATAGTTTGAATGATTTATTAGTACGCATTACCCTAAAGAGTGTGCTCTTATTCCACAGACCTATCATTGACCAAATAAGAAAGTCATGGTCTTATAAGCACTTTGAGAAACTTTAAAATGCTATTTGACTTTATGCTACCAGGCTTAGTAGAATATTAGTAATAAATTAAAATTAAGAGACAAACCACGTACATCACTGTCTTCACTGAACTAAATGGGCTTATCAATATCTCCACTGAGTATTTGTTTAGAATAATTTTGCATACATCTCTGCTTATATTTTGAATCTCCCACAGAAATAGCATTTCTTTCTTGACTATAAGATTATTTTGATTCCTAATTTTTAGAGTTTCCAGTGTATCCCTTCCTCTAAGTGCCACTGAAAATACCTTCATCACACATCTCTTGATCCTGTTCTTGGGAACATGCACAACTTTATCTATTTCCCCAATTCATATTTATTTTCAGCCTTAAATATGCAAAAAGGATGCTTCAGTGTTACCAGGTATGAGTACAGTTAGAAAAATTTAAGCATATGTGGTTATGAATTATTAATTGAATATTAATTATTAATGAAAATATGTCTCCCTAGGAAGTATATTCAGTGAAACTGTTATCACAAAGTATAGCTTGAAAAATGTATACAAAGGCCTTTTGCCCTTCTCCTTGGGAAGAACACCCTTGAGTAACCTTGAATTTGTGTTGTGTTTCCTGAGAGGCATTTGTTTCTAACATTTACCTATTCTTACCAAACCTGCCTTCAAAACAAGAGCTAGTCATTGTTTAAGGTACTAGAGATTCAGCATGTGGCCACCCAGGAACACATACAAACTGACAGATGCTTCTATATGGAAGTCTCTCTTAGTAATTGTCAGTATTAGATGCAACAATACCGCAAAACTAAGCATAACACCTTGTGACAATAGGCCTTCCCTAGAACAGGTGAATTTTACCAGAAAGTAAGAAAAAGAAATTCAGCCTTGTTAATCATCAGATTCTACTCTTCAATGTTTTAGCAAGAGGCAAATGTCATTGAAACTGATAAAAGTGATCCAGAAATAAACATTTAAATTTCCCATCATCATGCTGCAAATATAAAAGTAACATCAATCATAATTTTTCAAAAGAGGGAAAAAGATAAATAAAACTCACTGGAACCAAAGGGGTATCTTCTACAGGAAACTTTGAATCATCCAACAAAGACAAGGGATCCTTTTTCTCACAGCTTTCCTGACTGATGAGTGTGTCTGCATAGTTGGGCTGTGGGAAGATCAGATGACTCTTCCGCGAGTCTGTGGTGAGGGAGACCTCGTGGGAATAGGTCTGCAGAAAGGCCCGCACCCCATCCACACCTACAAAATGTGAGGTGGGCACACCCGCCAATCCGTCTCCATCTCTGGAAGCCTGGAGTAGGCGTGATGAATGCCAGCGCCGCAGCCTGAAGGCCAGGAGTACGATGACAAAGGCAAGAAAGACACAGGAGACAGCTGTCACTGCTACCACCAGGTACAGCGTGAGGCCTGAGTCATCTGGGTTGGCGGGAGATTCCAGAGTCCCCAGGTCCACCAGGATGTCTGGGATGCTGTCAGCTACAGCCACTGTAAGCGTAACGGTGGCAGAGAGAGGGGGCTGGCCATGGTCCTGGACCACCACCACAAGGCTCTGCTTGAGTGCATCTCTTTCCAACAGAGCTCGAGCGGTGCGGACTTCACCTGTGTGCAGCCCCACTGAGAAGAGCCCTGGCTCACTGGCCTTGAGCAGGCGATAGGACAGCCAGGCATTCTGTCCTGAGTCTCTGTCCACTGCTACCACCTTAGTCACCAGGTAGCCGGGCTCCGCGGAACGTGGTGCCAGCTCCACGCCAGTAGAACCATCAGTAGGGAGAGCTGGATATAGGATCTCAGGTGCATTGTCATTCTGGTCCAGTATGAACAGGCTTAGTGACATGTTGCTACTGAGTGGTGGGTTCCCACTGTCGCTGGCTGTCACTTGCATCTGTATATCACGAAATTGCTCATAGTCAAAAGATCTGAGTGCATACAGGACACCAGTGTCTGAATTGATGGAAATATATGAGGATAGAGGTGCCCCCTGTATGGTATCTTCAGCCAGGGAGTAGACAACCCTGGCATTCTCTTCACTATCTGGGTCCAAGGCTGTCACTGAAAAGATGGAGGCACCCCTGGCATTGTTCTCTGGGATATAGGTGAAGTAGGAGATGTGAGAGAACGAAGGTGGGTTGTCATTGATATCTGCCAGTTGCAGGGTCAAGTGAGTTTGTGTTGACAGAGGTGGACTTCCCCCATCAGTAGCTCTTACTGTTATATTATAAGAGGATACCTGCTCCCTGTCAAGGCCTCTGTGTGTCACCAATCTATAATAACTATCGATGGATTTTTCTAACTTAAATGGTAGATTCCCTGAGATGGAACAGGTTACCTGTCCATTCTGCTCAGAGTCTAAATCATGCACATTCAACAGGGCAATGACAGTTCCCAGAGGCGCATCTTCAGATACTGGACTAAACAGAGATGTGATGATCACCTCTGGATTGTTGTCATTTACATCTTCCACTGTAATCAATACTTTCGCAGTTGCTAGATATGCTCCTCCATCTTCAGCTTGTATTTCTATTTCGTAGAAACCCGTTTCTTCATAATCTAGACTTTCTGATAATTTTATTTCTCCAGTATATTCGTTTAGTTGGAATTTCACCAATTGCGTGTCAGGTAGTTTTCGGAATGAATAGATCACTTCTCCATTGGCTCCTTCATCCTTGTCGGTGGCGGTGACCGTCAGTAGCTGAGTGCCCACAGGTATGTTCTCAGGAACACTCACTCGGTATTCTGGCGAAGTGAAGACCGGGGCGTTGTCATTTGCATCGAAGACAGTTACACTGACAAGGACAGTGCCAGATCGGAGAGGGTTACCCCCATCGGAAGCGGTGAGGACCAGGTGGTGAACCGCCTCTTCCTCGCGATCTAGGGCGAGCTCCAGCACCAGCTCCGGGTACTTGACGCCACTGGCACGGCTCTGAACTGCTAAGGAGAAGTGCTTATTGGGGCTGAGCTGGTAGTTCTGTAGAGAGTTCACGCCCACATCAGGATCAATAGCTTCCAGGAGAGGAAAACGCATGCCTGGAGCAACGTTTTCATTAATTTTTATGTCTAGATTTTCTGCCTGGAATTTCGGGGCATTATCGTTGATATCAGTTACTTCTATTTCTATCCCGAAAAGTTTTACCCTATCTTCCACAAGGATGTTAAAACTAACTAGACACCGCGGGCTCTGAGCGCAGAGCTCCTCCCGGTCTAGCCTGCCAGCGGTGACCAAGCTGCCGCTTCGCGGATTCAGAGCAAAGAGCTGCGTCCTACCTCTGGAAACGATGCGGACTCCGCGCTCCGTCAACTCTCGGGGCTCCAGCCCCAAGTCCTTGGAGACGTTGCCAACGAAAGAGCCTTTCTCTATTTCCTCAGGAACTGAGTAGTAGATCTGCCGGGCTCTGGCCTCCCAAGGCATCCCGAAGAAAAGGCAGAGCAGGATCAGCTCGCTGCAGGCGGGGCTCTTCCTTTGAGCAGCCATTGTTGTAGTCACGGAATTCTCGCAAAGTCCTCACTGGACACCGTGTATGTTTCAACTGGTTCCTTTTTCTTTCTGTACAGTACAGTCTCTGTACTGTCAGCTGCGCACCTTAAATTCTGGAGTGAGTCTCGCTGCAGCCGGCGAGCCGGATTGTAGGAACTGCGGGGCTTTGTGTAGTTGGAGCCCTGAGAAACCGGATTGAGCTTCAGCTCCATTTTTCTCCTAGTAGGTGAACAGCGGCGCTCAGAGTCCTAAGAAGTTACTGCATCCACTATATATGCAATAGAAAGCAAACGCTACTTTCTGTTGTATTATTTTATTTTACATTGATTCTTTGGTTTCTCCGCTCACATATTTAAATTAATTACTATTTGAAGGTTTTTTATGGGAGGTGAGATAAAGTGGAATTTGAAGTATTATAAAATACCACACGATGATTTTTGGTTAAATCTACATTTGCAACACATTTCCCAACAGAAATATACTCACATTAAAAGGTTAAATAAAGCTCATTTTAGAGACTAAGACTATTCAGTAAAGTCTTACAATTTTATTTGAATTGTCATTTAAATAGTTCAATTTTATTTAGCTTACATTTATATAGGTTATGCTGGATATATTCCTTATGAGATAATTCACTTTGAAGCTTCTAAATTTTATTTATTTAATTAATTAAATGTATTTAGACTGACATTGTATGAGTTTTTCAAAATCCTCTTTACTAACATAATTTTATTGAGCCTTAATGGATATTTTTATGAAAATGCACTTTACCTTATAGGCATATATTATTAGAAGTTTACCTATTTAAATTAATTGAGCAGGTAATCACAAACTAAAAGGAACATACATGGCAGTTTCAAATTAAAATATTTGCATAGTAATGGAAAGATAAATAAGAATTCAAGAAGAAGAATTTCAAACATTAACATTTTTAAAAACAAAGATATAGTGATGTAGGCTTTAAACAAATAAGCACTTATGTCAAAAGACCTGTTCTCATCAGAGCTTTAATACCAATATAAATAATTTCTTAGGGGGTTTGTACAGAAGCCCAAACAGAAGTGGTTCACAGCTCTTCAATTTTGTGTGCCCATCAACCCAGCAGCAGTTCTCTCAAATGTGAGAGGTATAGAGGTTCACTTGTTTTCATGTAGAAAAGGAGTTGTTCAGAAGCTGATGAACATAGTTGACATGTTGATGTCACTATGCTTCTCAAGTATGGAATTCTACAAAGACTTTTATCCTTTTTCTTCAAAGATCTTATATCAGAGAATCAGAGACAGAAGCTGAGAGCTAAGACAATAGCATTTCATTTGATTTCTTGGAAAATTCATTATCTTGCAATGTAAAGCAAAAGAGATCAAGAAAGAGCACAGTTTCAACTCCAAGAAGAGGTACTCAGAAAAGCCAAAACTAGAAAGAAAAATCCTTTAAGGTAATTCGTCTTAAATTTTGCAGACTATAGAAACCTTTGAAATTTGTACAAGTTTTGAATCCTCTCCCAAGAAAAATTCCTACAACTATAACTTTGCATAAATTTCAGAAAATTTATGGATCTGTTGGCAATACTCCCATGAAATGCTTATGGCTTGAAAAAACCCTATTAAAGTAAATATAGAAAGATATCTGAAGGCACCTAACAGACTATTTGCAATAAATGCTTCTTTGACATGAGCACCTGCTGTGACAATTCAATGCACTATGTGTGTGTGTGTGTGTGTGTGTGTGTACAGTTCTTAGAGCCAGGATCTTGCTCTGTTGCTCAGAGTGTACTGAAGTGGCATAATCGTAGCATCATAGCTCATTGAAGTCTCTAAGTCCTGGGATCAAGCCATCCTCCTGCTTCAGCCTCCAGAGTAGCTGAGACTACAGGTGAGCATCAACATGCCAGGCTAAGTTTTTAATTTTTGTAGAGATAGGGGTTCTAATATGTTGCCCAGGCTGGAATGCCTGAATTTGCATTAAAAAACATATAAATAGGCTGGATGTGGTGGCTCACGCCTGTAATCCTAGCACTCTGGGAGGTCTTGGCAGGTGGATTGCTTGAGCTAATGAATTTATGACCAGCTTGAGCAAGAGTGGACCCTGTCTCTACTAAAAATAGAAAAACTGAGGCAAAAATAGAAAAACTTGAGCCCAAGAGTTGAAGGTTGCTGTGAGCTATCATGCTATGGCACTCTACTCAGGGCAACAGCTTGAGACTCTGTCTGGAAAAAACCCCAAACATATAAATAGCATAGGAAAATTCATTTTAAGTCTTAGCAAATTCAATGTGATAGGCTATTTATTAATTCACTTTATTAGAACCATGGCTTAGTTTAGTAATCAGAACTTGGCAAATTATCTTCAATCTGGTGACATTCTTCTACCAAATGGTAGAATAATTTGTGAGCCAAATAAGTCTTGAAAAATATAATTGATGAAAGAGTAAACATTGAGAAGACAATACGGTAATTTAAAAAATGTGATTTTAAAAAGCATATTTAAAATATTATAGAGCAGTATTTGTCAACCCTTTTTGTCTCATGGCATGATTGAACCTATAGTTAAGCTTTCATGGCACACTCAAATTATGTTGATAAAAAGGGAGTAAAAAAAGAATATACTTACTGTGCTTTGAACTTCTTTTGAAAATAATTTAATTAATGATCTTTAAAATTTTTCATGGCACACCAGTGTGCTGCAGCACACCGGTTGAAAATCACTGTTCTGGATACAAAAGTGAGGCAGTATTCTTGAAATATGAGAAACTAGTAGAATATCAGAGAAATCACAAAGAAACTTACCGATGTCAGAGTCTCAGGATGTGAGGTAAAATTATCCCCATCGTGAGGTGGAATAAAGGCTCCAGGAGAATCACTGCAAATTACGTCTTGAGTGGACTGTACGGGCACATTACACTTCAGGAAATTAAACTCTGTTGTGTCCCTTTGCGCAATACACAGATTGTAGGAATAAGGCAAAGTCTTCTCGCTGTAGTTGGGAGGAACCACGGCTCCAGACTTGACACAGAGACCAGGCTGAAAGCAGTCCCAGTTGGTGGGACTGGAGGAGCTTCGCAAGCGCAAGGCAATGGCCAGAATCACCGCTAAGAGGAAAAGCACTGAGATCAAGGCCAACGCTACGACCAAGTAAAACTGTAGGTCCGTCTGGGGATCAGAGGGCACAGGACTATCACTGAGGTCTGGCAGCACCTCCTGCAGGCTGTCTGCGAAAACCAGGTGCAACGTGGCAGTGGCCGAGAGAGGCAGCTTTCCACCGTCACGCACAGCGACCAGGAGGCGCTGCCGGGCAGTGTCCCTGTCACCCAAGGCACGCGCGGTGCGCACCTCGCCAGTGCGTAGCCCCAGACTGAAAAGCCCAGGCTCACTGGCCTGCAGCACGTGGTAGGACAGCCAGGCATTATAACCGGAGTCTGCGTCCACCGCCACCACCTTGGTGACCAGGTAGCCGGGCTCTGCGGCGCGCGGCACCATATCGAAGAGCGCTGAGCCATCGGGCTCCAACGCCGGGTACAGCACCCGCGGGGCATTGTCGTTGCGGTCATCCACCAACACGCGCAGGCTCACGTTGGCGCTGAGCTCGGGCGAGCCTTGGTCACGAGCCAGCAGCGTCAGCTGGAAGGCTCGCAGCTGCTCGTGGTCAAAGGCTCGTTGCGCGAACACCACTCCGCTCTGCGCGCTCACTGATACGTAGGATGATAGCATCGTGGGCTCAAGGTCACTGGCTACAATGGAATAAGAGATGTGGCCGTTAGGCCCCAGATCCGGGTCTGAGGCGCTGACTTGGGCGATAGAGACTCCAGGAGGGTTGTTCTCCGCCACGTGTATCAGGTAGGAGGCCTGAAGGAAAATCGGAGCATTGTCGTTTACATCGGTGATGTACAAAGTGATGCTGATACTGGAAGAAAGGGGTGGCTTGCCCCGGTCCATGGCTGTGATAGTGATGTTATATTCAGGGTTCTGCTCTCGGTCCAGGACTCCATCTGTCACTAGCTTGTAGTAATTATTATTAGAAGAAGAAATCTTGAATGGAACGTTTCTTTCTATATTACACGTGACTTCTCCATTTTCTCCGAAATCCCTGTCGCGAGTTTTGAAGAGGGCAACAACCATTCCTCGAGGGGAATCCTCTAATATCTGATCATGGAGAGACGTGATGGTTATTTCTGGGCTGTTGTCGTTTTCATCTAGGATTTCTATGATTACTTTACACTGGGTAGAGAGACCACCTCCGTCCTTTGCTTCTACTTCCATGGTGTATCGTTCTACATCTTCAAAATCCAAGGACTGGTTATTTCTAATCATACCTGAGTTCTTATCCAATGAGAACATGTGTCTTGTGCTCTGAGCAGTGCTCCGGAAGTAGTAGTTTATCTCTGCATTCACCCCCTCATCCTCGTCAGTGGCTGTCACCTGCAACACGGGGGATCCAGGGGGAAGATTTTCACTAAGACTAATTCTATATTCATCTTTGCTGAACACCGGAGGATTATCATTGGTGTCCCTGACAAAAATTTCTATATGAGCGGTGGCACTTAGAGGCGGGTCTCCTCCATCCAAGGCGGTCAATATCAAGCGGTGAGATCTCTGCTCTTCCCGGTCTAGGAGTTTCTCCAGAGATAACTCGGGATATTTTTCACCATCAGAATTAATTCTGACCATTAATGAAAAGTAAGGGTTAGGGCTTATCTGATAGTCTTTAATTGAATTTGTGTCTATATCGGGATCCGTGGCAGGGTCAAGGGATATTCGGGTACCAGCAGCAACAGATTCAATAATTTCTAAATGTATTTCCTTTTTGTCGAATCGAGGGGCATGGTCATTAACATCCTCAATAACTACAAAGATATGAAAAATATTTAAAGGATTTTCCACCACAGCTTCCAGTTGCAACTCAC